CCTTTGTTTCCTTCCTTCCCTCCCCTACCTCATCCTTGCCAGAAAACATAAGACATCTTAACTTTACATCACAGTATTTCTGTTACAGGGGACCTAGAAGACGTGAGACCCTCAACCAAGAACTTTGCATCTTCTACTGGGGAAAGGGTGAGTGTGTTTTCAGTTGTGTACAGGATAGTTGTATCCCGTTAGGCAGAGTATGACTTTGTTACTGTCCGTATGTTTGGAGATGAAGTATGGTTTAAGGAGATGTTTACAGATGCCCTGTTGACGGGGGGTGGACTGTGGTGGGCAACTATCTGTATCAACCTTCTTGGCTAAGGTACTCAGTTGATTGATCAAGCACAAGTCTAGGTCCTGCTATGTCATATTTAATTAAAGCAGATTAGCTTCCATAATGTGGCTGGGCCACATCCAATCCATAGAAGGCCTAAAGAGCCAAAGTTGAGGTTACTTTTACCTCAGGACTGTCACAGAGACATTCCATTGGCATTTCCAGCCTGCCACTTGACCTACAGAATTGATTACTTGTCAGTCCCCAGCCCTGGTCATGTGAGCCAATTCCTTAAAATCAATCTTATCAATCTCTCTCTCTCTCTCTTTTGTGTGTGTGTGTGTGTGTGTCTGTGTGTTTGTTGTGTGTGTGTAGATCTTGTTTCTCTGGAGGGACTCTCTCTCGTGCGTGTGTGCGTGTGTGTGTGTGTAGATACTGTTTCTCTGGAGGACACCAGCTGATACAGATGTTGGCATGAAATGACCTAACTTATCCAGAGAACACATATATTGGGTTGTCTGGAACAGAGGGGGACTGTGAGGGGCAGTGGTGGGAGAGGGAAGGAGACATAGGTTAGGGTCCAATTACCAAGGGTCTTGTGTTCTAAGATGGCCTGGTAGCAGAGTTGTTAACCAAAAGGTTGGTGATCTGAACCCAACCTTTCTCTTCTCTGCTGGAGGACATGGCAGTGTGTTTCCACAAAGACTGCCCGCCACAGAAACCCTGTTCTACTCGGTGCTAGTGGATCACGATGAGTCAGAACCAACTTGACGGCAGCGGGTCTGGGATCTGTGCTCTAAGCTAAGCTTAGCTAGGCTTCATCTTGCATCTATGAACAGAAGGACAGGTACGATTAATAATGCTGGGAGTAGGTACAAGGCTACCTGGAAGAGAGGAAGTTTGAGCTGGACCTTGAATGCCAGGAAGACAGGGTTGGTTGCACAGCCTTGAGATGAGCCCTGGGGGTACCACTTCACCAGCTGCCCAGACAAAGGAGGGTAGTGAGAGGACGGCCATGGGGGAAGGCTCTGTAGGGTGAGGTGGAATGATGCTCTTCACCTGTCAACCAGGTCTCACAGGAAAGCACGAGGCCATGGTCAGGATCGGGTCTTGGTTCACCGCTCAGCAAGACGCAGCTGCCTCTGCTGCCTTGGGCAGATTCATAGTCAGAAATTCAGTCAAGCTCTGACAGCAGATCGAGGGCGTCAAACCCATAGCACTTAGTGCCTGGTGCTTAGTGGAAACTCAGGAAAGCAACGTCGTGTGGTGGGACCGCAGACTGCTTCCCATGCAGATGGCCTGGGTGCCAGTAACTAGCTGTGAGTCCTTAGGAAAGTAACTTGGCCTCAGTTTTCCTCATTACTATGCAGTGACAATAAGGAGCTCTGGTGGCATAGTGGTTTCGAATCAGGCTAACTAACCTCAGGATCAGCAGTTCGAAACTACCAGCTACTCCACAGAAGAAAGATGAGGTTTTCATCTTCTGTAAAGATTTACAGCCCCGGAAACCCTATACAGGGTCGCTATGAGTCGGAACCAACTCCATGGCACATAACAACAACATCAACAGCAGCGACAATAACACCTTTTTATGGCATTGTCTTGGGCATCAAGTGAGATCTTCCACAAACAATCACAGTTAACCGCTCTTGGTACATAGTTGTTGTTGTTATCGCTAAGTGCTGTCAAGTGGGTTCCAACTCATAGCAACCTTGTATGGGATTTCCGAGGAGCAGCTGGTGGGTTTGAACTTCTGACCTTGTGGTTCACAGTTGAGTGCTGATCCTACAGCGCCACACTGGTGGGAGTCCTTAGTACATAGCAGGCAATCAAGTGCGTGTTTTCCTCGTTCCATTATTCTCTCGCCCGTCCTCTCCTCCCTCTTTTCTTCTTCACTTCCGCACTTTCCTCAAAAGCTCATGGTAAGAGCTCTGGGAGACTTTTGAAGAGATATGTACTTGACTCAAGGGGAGCTCCCTGACCGGCTGTTGTGGAGGGTTCATCCTTGGCTAAGAATCCTTGGCTATGATGTCACAAGCAGACGAGCCCAGAATAGGCAGATATGACCGCAGTGGCTACAAAGCCTCAAAATCTGTGATCTGAGTGGAGAAGTTGGCGATGGTCTCGATGCTTTGAGAAGAGGGAAAGTGTCCCAGAGAAGCAAGCAAGGACACAGACAGAGAGTGGGGAGATCTGGACCTGTCTCCCAGTAGAAAAGAAATGAGACACAGACTCAGTAGGATCTGAAGGGACTCCAGCACCAGGTTGTGGATACAGGGCAGCAGGGCCTAACCTGGTGACCATTCTTCACTGGAATGTGGAAGAAAATAAGTCTGGCACCAGGGGCTGCAGAGATAAACCAACCTGTCTCAGGAGCTGGAAACAAGAAGGTCTATGCAGGATGGGTACCTCTGCAGGTGGGCTGCTCTGTCCCTCAGGCCACCCACAGCAGGTCCAGGAGTCTGGGGAAGAGTGCATCAGCTCATCAACACCTAAAGTGAGGTGTACAGCTTGTTAGCACTGGGCTATCTCCTCCAAACCCTTCATCTCACCTGCGGGGTCCCTGAAGTCAGCAAAGGTGGCTTACAGCCAGGTCACTGTGGACCTGTAGGCCACCAGGAGGGATGGGCCCATCCCTAGTGGGTGAGCCCCTAACTCCGCCTCCATCTGGGTGTTGTCCTTGGCATTCCTGAAAGTCATCCTTGCTTCTAGCACTTAGGGGCAGGTTTTGGTACAAAGGTGTGGGTGGCTGTATCCACCTGCTGTTAAGCTGTCCCCAGGACAGAAGAAGGAAAAGAAGAGAAAGAGAAGACAGCAGAGCCAGTGGAGGACGTTAAAGTCCCCACCCCAGCTGGCTGTCCTGAGGGTCTCAGACACTACGTTTTCCCAGGCCCCGCCTCTGCCTCGGCCTCACCTTCCCTCTGGCAGTCAGTGGGCAGGGCCAGTGGCCGGCTTGGACTCCTTGCTCCCTCACTTGCTTGGAGTGGCCCTGCTTGCGGCCCTGCCGGCGTTGGCACGGTGACAGTAGCCAAGTGTGGAAACTTGTGCCATTGTCCCCAGGACAGGGGGAGCCATGGAGACTGACTAATATGACACAGGAAAATGTTTGCTGATGGCAATTCTATGGGCTTTGTCCACCTCTTTCTCCATCATGACGACTCGATTTAAGTCCCTAACTGTTTGACTACAAATGCAAAGGGACCGTGCAACGCCAACCTTTTGTCCAGCCGCACTGAATGGGCAATTCAGGCATTGTGCAGCTCAATTGAGGAAGCAAACATAAAGACAAGATTCCAGAGAGCTCCGGCTCTCTTCCCATGGTTATCCCAGGCCCTCTCGTTAGTCAGTCCTGCCTCGACCACCGGTCCCGACGACAGAGTGCCTCCCCAGCCGGCCCTCCAGCGCCCAGTCTGCAGAGAACAGGGGGCTAGAGAGTGCCACTTAACACTCGGGGGCAGGGAGAGCGGCCCGCCCCAGCTTACCCAGGCTGATTGTCCATCTGCACTGGAGCATGGCAGCTAAGGCTGGCAGGCTTTTGGGGGGGTGCGGGGGGTGGTGGTGGAATGAGGTGCGGGGGCTTGCAAGCCCAGCTCCACTGGGCCCAGTCCCTACTCAGAACTGGACATTTTAAACACGCACGCGCACTCACATCTCACACACACACACACACACACCCCACCCCTCAAGAAACCAGGGGACCGAGGTCAAGGGGAGGAGGGGCATGGGGGCCAAGGAGGGGAGCAGGGCTGAAGGGTAGAAATTTACCGGGAAATGATTGCATTTGGGAGCTGTCTTTTTTGTGATGGTCCCCATGGTGACAATTTGTGACGGCAAAGAATGTGGGAACGGGGCGCCGCCGCCTTATTGGGATGCTTTGTATCTGGAGAGGCGCTCCTGATTGGCCTGAGGCCCCCCAGCCCCGGGGACTTGTCCTCCATTCAGCCCACTCAGGGTTGCACAACTGCTTCCCGCGACCGACGGAGCTCGCTCGCTCGGCGGCCCTGCCGGCCGAAGGGCCCAGGTCTGCGGGGGAACCTGCCGGGCCGCGTGGGCGGGGGCCCGGGACCCGCACCTCCGGTCAGTGTGGGGGACTGGGCCTGCTGGGTGAGGGGCGAGGGGCAGGCCGGGGCCCCGCGGGAGGGGCGAGGTGCTGTGGGTGGTGGCCTGGTAGGCATGAAATTGCTGCAGCTGCTTCCTGAGGAAACCCTGCTGCCCGCAGTCTGCGACCAGCCCTGGAGGCAGGTCTTGACTTGAGTGCCAGAGAGCGTCCCGCCCGCCCGGTCCTGCGTGAGCGCCTAGGGGTGGAGCATGGGGGCTGGGGGTGGAGGTGGGGGAGGGCGAAAGGCGCCCCCAGGGAGGAAGGGGGCTTGGCCTCACTGCAGAATGGAGCAGTGGCCTCCGCTCATGAAATAAGACCAGGCAGACAAGTTGACCACGTTGGCCCAGTTCCCGCCAGCAGTGCCACTGGGTAGCTGGGCCACTTTGGGCAAGTTACCTGCCCTCTCTGAGCCTCAGGCCCCAGACAGTTCAATGAGAGTCTCTGTACACCTGGCTTATCTCAGGTGCCAAGGAAATGCTCAGCAGGGTGCCGGGGTTGGGGCCACTTTTTGCAGCCACGTGGCCTTTGGAGAGGACCTGGTGTGGTTGCTGGACTAGACTCCGACTGCCTACGGTGTCCTGCAGGTCAGCTGGGAGCCCTTCCCTGGAGCAGGACCCACTCTCTTCATGGAAAGCCCCGTGCAGCGGTCCCCTGGTGATGGCATCCGACAGTGATGTGAAAATGCTGCTGAACTTTGTGAACCTGGCTTCCAGCGACATCAAGGCCGCCCTGGACAAGTCGGCACCCTGCCGCCGCTCGGTGGATCACCGCAAGTACCTGCAGAAGCAACTCAAGCGCTTCTCCCAGAAGTGCTCTCGGCTCCCGCGGGGCCTCCCTGGCCGAGCTGCCGAGCCCCACCTGAAAAGGGGGTCTGAGGACAGGCCAGCGAGGCTGCCCCTCCAATGTCACCAGCCTAGCCCCGGTGGGGTTGGGGGCTGCCAGGAGAAGGCTCTGGGGAGCCCCGACAGGGGAGAGTATCTGTCTGGGCAGCAGGAGCAGGGCCTGCATGGGCAGAGCCTAGAAGCTGCCCGGCCTGGCCAGGTGCCCATGAGGAAAAGACAGCTGCCCGCCTCCTTCTGGGAGGAGCCTCGGCCCGCCCACAGCTTCCCCTTGGGGCTGGAGGGGGGCCTGGGCCCCAGGGAGGGACCTCCCTACAAGTGTAAGAAAACGTGCCAGGGCTTGGAGTCTTTGGGGCCCGAGACAGCCCCGGTGTGCCTGTCCCCAAGGGCACTGGTAGAGGAGACGCTCCGAATGCCTGGGGTCTCCCTGGTGGGTCATGTCAACGCCTGGAGCTGCTGCTCCCTCCAGTACCATGGACAGCCCATGTACCCGGGCCCTGTGGGTGTGCTGCCTCAGGGGTCTGTGCCCAGCCTGGGCCTGTGGAGGACAAGCCCTGTCTCCCCTGGGGAGCTGGCCCCCTGCTGCAAAGATGTAGATGGACCAGGACAGAAGGTGTACCGCCCTGTGGTCCTGAAGCCCATCCCCACCAAGCCAGCTGTGCCCCCGCCCATCTTCCATGTCTTTGGCTCCCTCTAGCCTGGCCATGAGGGGCTGGGCACCTCCACTTCAGGCCCCCCTGACCAGGTGGGCGGGAGTGGGGGCCTCTGAGTTGTGCAGTGGTGTGGCCTCTCCCCATTGTGTGGGAGGGGTGAGGCAGGACGGGGCAGGGGAGGGTCACCTACTCTGCCCTGGCAGCTATACCCCTCCTACCCCAGGCCAACCAATGACCTCAAGTCCCTGCTGCAAACCAGGGCAGCAGAAGTGACCCTTGCCTGCCCGACCCCCCCCCTCGAAAAAAAAGCCAGAGTTCCCATCTGTTTGCTGCCACTGTGCACACGTCCTCACTTGTTATTTTCGTTCTTTGTAAATATTAAGAAAGTTAAAAGAATAAAGGCATTTCTTTTGCAGTTTCCATATCTTGGGTGTCTTGAAGTTGAAGGGTCCCCAGGCCTGGGCCCCAGGATCCCAAACTTCTCTGGGGAAGGCAAGGTGCAGGTTTGATGTGGGGCTAAGCTCTCAGGGGGGGTCCCCTTTTCCCCACCTGTAGAAGGGAGGGTGTGGGACGAGAATGGTCCAGGCCCTTGTGGCCAAATTAACAAATTGTTCCACTAAATCATTCTTCTTTTAAGCATGGCCTCTGGCTCTACATTTGTTGTTAACTGCTGTCAAGTTGGTTCTCACTTGTAATGATCCTGTTTAGGGTTTCCAAGGAGTGACTGGTGGGTTTGCGCCTCTGACCTTGTGGTTAGCAGTCCAGTTCTTAACCTACAGCTGTGCTAGGACACCAAAAAAATAACAAAGAGGTACTGCCGTGTGCATGTAGGTCCCCAGGTTAACTACTGATCTCCCTCTCCCAGGTTTGGCACAGTGCCAGGCACCCATGAAGGTGTTTGTCCTGAGGGTGTTCAGCGGTAGTAAAATCATTGAAGGATCTCTCCCTGCCCATGGCCCACAGCTCTCATTGTCAGTTCACTTTGTGGCTTACACGCCCAGCGCTGGGCCAGCTTGACTGGGACGTTGGCACCCAAACTAGCTAGTGGTGCAAGGCTGGAAACCTGCTCTGCACCTCAGTTTCCACATCTGTAAAATGGGGGACTAGATCAGGGGAGCAAAGAGAGGTATCACCACTGCCTACGGACCCCTCACCTCTGGGGCCCGGAGATGGCCTCAGACTCCTTCCTAGCACAGTGCTCTAGCGATGGTTGAAGGCCCTCCCCAGCTGCCTTGTTTTGGCTCTGAGCTCCCCTGGAGTGGAAGTCCATGTGGAAGGGCTGCTCGCTGGCAGATTTCTGGTGGTTTCTATCTGATGCTCTCTGAGACTCCAGTCACAGAAGGCAAAGCTGTTCTGAGCAATTATGTGACATATGGGGTTGGGGTTGGGAAGGTCCTCAGATGGGACCCTCAGCCTCAGATTGCTGTCTACGGAACAATGAGGAGCTGTCACTGAGGCAACCCTTTTGGATCCATTCTGATGGGTCTTGGCTCCTCCTAACTGCCCTACTCACCCAGGTTCATGTCCCAGCCCTGCCACCTCTAAGCTGTGTGATCTTGGCCAAGTTCCTTAACCTCTCTGTGTGAGTGCTGAAACCCTACATAAACCTCAGTGGTGGCATCTGCGGGTCTTGCCACGCACTATCTCCAATCATGTTCAGAAACAGTATGGGCCACAAAACATAGTTCCCAGACCATCCAACCAACAGACTCTGTGGAGGATTTCTCAGGTGCTGCCTGAGCCCAGCCCAACCTGAGATCTGTTCATTCAAAACTCAGGAGGCCTCCACTCAAAGCAGCACCCTTTACTAGGACATTGGCCAGCAGAGCACACGATCTCTCAGTGTATAAACAAGACAGGACACAGGTACACAGAAGAAAGTTTGGTATTATAAACAAAAACCAGCCACAGTTACAGCCTCGGATAGTCAAACTCCCCTGAATAAAGAACAAACTGTGCTGGTTCAAGAAGGACCCAGGGCCGTCTCAGGAACTGGCCATTTTATTTAGTGTCTAGTCTACTGCCCAGAAAGTAGAACTGCCGTATGGGCATTTCTAGGGTTCTGTGATGCTATAGGACTGTCTGTGAGCTACAGACCCTTCCAGGGGCTGGGAAAATACCAGAGTAGGAGGTGGGAGGACTCCTGCAGAGCGTAGTGCGGGCGTTGGGTGTAGACTAACACACTCAGAACTGGCCTGGGGGTGGGGGTGGGGGCAGGGTTGCTGGCTTGAGGGAAAGGATGTGGGGTAGGGGTCTCTCAGGAGGAGGCTTCCTGAGCAGGTGTAACCATCAACAGTGTGGCAGTGGATCCCTATTCTAAGAACCCAAATGTAGTACCAGCACACCCTGCCCAGGGGCAGAGTGGTGTGCCTCAGTATCCCCACGCACCTCTCAGCTTCACCTACTCCTGGTGCACCTCCCTGGGGCAGTGTTCCCACCCCAGCTCCACTCATGCCTGGATTTCTCAGCTGGGGAGAGGCGACACCCTTGGTCTGATAGGACTTGGTGGTCTGTGAAATGCCTGGTTTGAGTTGACCTGATACCCACCCCTCTCCCTTGCACCTCATACCATCCCAGGCTGGCCCTTTCTACTATCCCGCCATCCCTGATGCATCTTCCGGGAGGAAATGTAAGACACTGACTTGGGTCTTCGGGATTGAAAGGGGAAGAGCAGGGAGTGGGGGCTGCAAAGGTTCCTGCAGATTCTGCAGGGCCTGCAGCAAAGCGGCCTGTGATCATGCCCAGCCTGCTGTGTGTGCCCAGGCAAACCCCTCCCCTTCTCTGGGCCTATTTTCTGTAGGTACGGTGCGGAAGCTGGTAGGGAGAACCCTCTGCCCTTGGTCAGAAGAACTGCGTATCTTCACAAGCCATAGGACTTACTGATACCCTGGAAATCCAGGTGTCAGGTCACGGCCAGGCCACTAGGGGGCACCCAACACCATGCCTGCTGCCCAGAAGCGGGAACGAAGGCCCTTAGAGGAGCCAGCCAATGGCAGAGCGGGGCGGAGAGAGCGGAGGCTCTCTCCGTGGACTCCGCGTCCTGGGCCAAGCAAGGTCCCCTGCGAAAGGATGCTGCCTGCTCTGACAACACTACAAAGTGGCTTTCAGCTCCTTTGCAAAGACCGCTGTGGAGTCCCTGTAGTTTCCATAGAAACTGGATGCACCCTGCTCTGCCCAGCTTCATATGCAACCCCTGCCTGTCAGGCAAGAGTCCCAGGGAGGCCGCGGAAGGGATAGCCTTCGTACAATGCCAAGTTCAGAGTCTTTGCTCCGGTCCCATGACATCCCTCAACGCCACCGCCTTTGCTCATGGAAACATCTAGAATATTTTTATTGTAGGGTTTTTTTGTTTGTTTTCCCTCGTGTCTCACTTTCGTAACCAAACAGGGGTGAGGACAGTGTCAGTGAATATGTGTGTGTGCAGGGTAACCCCAGTGTTGGGGGACTTGTGGGCACAAGAACCCCCCGCTGGACACGGATCTCCTGTTTCCATGGAAACTGAACCCGGATCCTGCCCAGCCCCCAGTCCCGACTGGGGCAGCGCTGAGTACCAAGGCTCTTGGAGTCTGGAGAGGGGACGGTGCCAGGCAGATCATCACTTATGCAGCATTTATTGTGCTGAATGCAGCCCTCGGGGATCGAAGGCCTCCTCCAGGCCTGGACCCCATCTCCTAGGAGGAGGGTAAAGGACCAGGTGGAGGGATTCACAGAACAAACAGTGTGGAGGCACCTGGAGGTCTGCGGTGAGGTTGCCCTGAAAAGGCAGACTTGCACCTAAAAGTTCTCCAGTCGAGTTGAGGACCAAGGATCTCTTGCTGCCACCCCACCCCCCCACCCCCAGCCTCAGCTGGCCTCTCCGGCCCCAGAACCAGAGGTTTCTCTCGTTCCCAATGGTAGCAAAGGTCTGGGATCTACTCATTGGTCTGAGAACAAACAGGACTTCTCTCCTGCTTAACATGATCCTCGGCTTGGGGCAAAGCTCTGGCCCAGAGACCCTTCAAGATCATGGCGCTGCCCCGCCCAAGGGGGTGGGGAGAGGCAGCTGGCAGCCTTGTCTGTCCCCAGGTTCCCTTGTACTTGGGGATACCAGCATCCTGAGTCTTAGCAAAGACAAACTGAGATACGACTCCTTCATCCCCACGGCCTGGTTACTGGGTGTTCTCGTACTTCAGATATCGAATCAACCTGCCCGGCAGCGGCAACGTGTCTAGGAGTTTTATCCGGTATTTTCCAATAGCTTTCCGCACCTGCAGCCGGCAAAGGTGAGCCAGGGGTCTCGGAGGTTCTGAAAAAAGGAGGGAAAGAGATTGATTTGTCTCCCATCCAAGTATTAACCAGGCTTAGTTCTCAAGATCGGAAAAGATTGGGCACAGACTAGACATGCTGATTTGTTAGCTGCAATCAACAAAGGGTTTGCAGCTCCACCTCCACATGTGGAAGGCACCCAGATGTGGCTACAAAGAAAGGGGTCCCTAGACCCCTTTGAAAACACCCGGCAGAGCACATTCCGACTTTTCATTCCTCATGGGCCCCCACAGCCTAAGGAAGTAGATACAGCCCATTTCACAGCTGAAGAAACTGAGGCTTAGCATGGCTGCAGGCCACACCCAGAATCACACCTGGAATGGGAGCCAGCATCTCCCAGCTCCTCCTCCACTGCTCCATCCTGGATACACAGCCTGAACCACCAAGCACCTTTAGTAAAGGGGTCAGAGATTTAAGTGCCCTTGTGTGGAATTCAGCTCTGGGCTCCTAGGTGATGCTCTGGGGACAGGGTGAGGGCTCAGGGACCACAGACCAGGCAGCTCCCAGCAGGTCACAGAATCCCAGTAGACTGCCTTCCCTGAGTTGTTCTGGGGGCGGGAGCAAGGGGGTGAGGAGAGGAGAGAGGCAGGAGCAGGGACTGGGCAGTGAGGGGGTCATGTATTTCAGCCTTGGATACAGGGAAGCCTTGACACAGAGCACGTGTTTGCCAGACCCAAGACTATCATTCAGTCAGTCAGTCACACATGCATTTGACATACAAGTGCTATACTCCCCGCCTCCCAGGGCCTGGCCCTGAGCTCTAGCGTGAGGCACATAGGAGCCTTCACATGGGCTCCGAGAGCTGGGTCTTAAAGAGAAGAAACTCCCTGGACAAGGTAATTCCAAGCAGTAGGAACAACGTGGGGCCCGGGGAATTCTGGGTTGGGCCTTCGCCATTACTGACTTTTCCATTGCCCTTTGATCACTCGTCTGTCTGGAATGCTGACGTCACAACCACGCATTACATGAGAAATCACGTGGGAGGGTGTGAGCAGTTGGAGGGTGGAATTCCAAGTAACCAGTCTAGTGCTGGTCAAGAATGATGAGGTCTCCTTGTCAATAAATGTTTTTGGCACATCAAGGCTTCTTTATGGGTTTCCCTGGGACATCTTCAGTTCTAAGGAGATACAGTAGGATAAGCACTGCACCTCAAGATCAGTTTGAACCTCAAGGTCAGAAGTTCAAACTTACCAGCCAATCTTTAGAAACCTAATACAGAGCAGCTATGAGTTGTAACCGACTCGACAGCACTTACCAACAGCAACGTCCTTCTCTACAGGCATAAGTGGTTAAGCACTGAACTACTAACCCAAAAGGCTGGCAGCACAAACCCATCCTGAGGTCCCTCGGAAGAAAGGTCTGGCACTCTTCATCTGAAAGGGTCACAGATTTGAAAACCCTGTGGGGTAGTTCTACTCTGCACACATAAGAGAGTCTCCATGAATCAGAAACTAACAACAGCGGGGAGGAGGGAGACTGTGAGGGGGAAATGACCAAGGGTCCTGGTGTCAGCAACCAGCTATTCATTCGTTCTGTAGTTTAGTGAGAACTGTGCTCTGCATGAATAAGCAAATGTCCTCACTCCTCCATAGTTTTACCAAAGGCCTCGACTCATGTTCTTTATGGGTATTGGGGTAAATGAAAGAGCCTACAGTGGGTTTGAGCTCAAAGAGGCATGGGGGTCAAGTCGGAGCCGAGATGAGTCTGAATCAGAGCCTGGAGGGCGGGCCACATGGGCAGGCAATGGGGGTGCATGCACTCACCCACCCATACAAGGGAATGTCAACAGTGTTGGGCCGATAGTAACTTGCTTCAGATCTGTCTCTGCCCCACTTGACTGGCACACACTTTGCAAAAACCTGTGCTGCTCAGAGCTGGAGAAAGCCCTGTTGTTGTTGCTCAGTGCCATCGAGTCGGTTCCGATCCATAGCGACCCTGTATAGGGTTTCTGAGGAGCAGCTAGTGAGCCTGAACCACCAATGTTGCAGTTCAAATGACCTTGCATTCCAGAGCATTAACCCACAGCGAAATGCCTCTAGACAGTGCATGAGTCCCGCTGCTGTACCTAATTTGACTGTTTCTGATACCTCACCTACCCAGGAGAGCTAAGAATACCAGATTTAACCAGGCTGCCTCATTCACAATGAACTCTACATCCTGGGGGAGGGGGGACAGGGGGAGCAGACCCACGCATCTGCACACACCCAGAGCTGAAAACTTTCCTAGACCAAACCACAGGCTGGCCAAGTGGGAAGGGAGCTGGACGCTGAATCAGTCTGTCCAATTTCCTCAATGTACAGACGAGTTCTGAGGCCCAGAGAATGGAGGGGCCCTGCCCATGGTCACACAGTCCCCAGCAAGGCCCAGGAGCCAGTGACATCAAACCACTTGGGAACATGCTGAAATGCAGACTCTCAGGCCCACCCAAGACATGATGAATCTGAATTACATTACTATAAGATGCCCACATGCTTGAGATACATTTTATAGTTTGAGACATCCTAGCCCACTGTCCTCTCCTCTCTTCTGCTTCCCAGTGATCCCCAAAAGAGGACAACTTAACCCACAATCTCATGGAGCTGTAGTTGTTTAACCATCATGGAAAGACTTCATCAAACCTGGGTTTGAATCTCAGCTCTGTCTCTAACTAGCTACATGGCCTTGGCCCCAGTGCATAACCACATTTGTCAATCAAGACAAGGTATGTAGTGGGTGCTCATCAATAATGCTAGTAACCAGCCCCGAGAACTGGGCCTCTCTGATGGGCGGGTGGCCTGCCAGCAGCAGCGGTAAGAGTCCTACCTGCCTTCTCCTTGATGACAGCCCAGTCTTCATAGCTATCAATGTGCTCCTTCAAGCGTGAACAGAGCTGCACGTTGCCCACATAGTCCAGAAGCACATCGATGATGGGTCCTGCCCAGCGGCTCACCTCCGGGGCTGAGAGGATCTCACAGAACTGCAAGAGAAGGCACACCTGGGCTTCAAGAGCTCATCCTGCAGGTGAGGCAGCTGAAGAGCATCCAAGGGCAGACACCATGGGACGCAGCCAGGTCTAGAAACCCTCCTCACTGACACTCTAACCAACACAGGCAGCTACTGACAAAGAAGAGATGGGTTACATGGGCAAGTCAGATTGATTACCTCTCTGAGCCTCAACTTGTCTATAAAATGGGTATACCGGTACCAGTAGCTATTCAGGTCAACACATGGTGACCCTATAGGTTTCAGAGTAGAAAAACGTTCCACAGGGTTTTCAATGACAGTTGTTTGTTTTCTAAAGTAGATCCACAGACCTGTCTTCCGAGGTGTCCCTAGGTGGAGTCAAATCTCTAGTCTTTCAGTTAGCAGCTGAGTGTATTAACTGCACCACTCAGGGATTCCATAAAAGGGGACTATGAACAATAAGGTAATATAAACATAAACTTCTCTGCACACGGTCCTGTTGTTAGGTGCCATCTTTATTGTTGTTAAGTGCCATTGAGTTTGTTTCAACTCATAGAGACCCAATATAGGGTTTCCAAGGAGCGGATGGTGATTTTGAACTGCCATTCTCATGGTTCAAACTAGCCTTGTGGTCCTTGTGGATCTTGTGCCACACCAGCACTCCTAGGTGCCATCTAGTCAATTCCAACTCATAGTGACCGTGTGCACAGCACTGCCCAGTCTTGTGCTCTCCTCACAATCGAGCCCATTGCTACTGTTGTGGGGTACTTTGAGGAGGCAGGCCTTCCCCAGTCATACTTAGGGGCTCATCTTCCAGCACTATATCTGACAATGTTCCACTGCTATTCATAAGGTTGTCATTGGCTAGCCATTCAAAAGTGGATCCCCTGCCTTTGTTCATAGTCTGTGTTAGTCTGGAAGCCCCCACTGAAACCTATCCATTGTGGGTGACCCTGCTGGTATTTAAAATATGGGTGGCACAGCGTCCGGCATCACAGAAACACATGAATCACCAGATTAGGACATGCTGACAGACTTGTGGTAGCTGCACACAGTTGTTGTTGTTAAGTGCTGTCGAGTCAATTATGACCCATCACCACCTTGTATAGGCGCGTTCCAAGGAGCATCTGGTGAACTTGAACCACCGACCTTGCAGTTCAAATGACTTTGCAGTCTGATAAATCAGCCCACAGCGCCACACCAGGACTCCTGCTCCGTACAGTTGTTGTTGTTGTTGTTGTTATGTGCCATCGAGTCGTTTCCGACCCATAGCAACCCTGTATAGGGTTTCCGAGGGTGTAAATCTTTACTGGAGTAGAAAGCCTCATCTTTCTCCCGCGGTGCAGCTGGTAGTTTCGAACCGCTGACCTTATGGTTCGCAGCCCGATTCGTAACCACTACGCTACCAGAGCAAAATGATGGCCATTAGCCATTATGGCTGTGTCAAAAGGTTGGTAACTTCCTTTCCATCTGACTTTCTGTGTCAGCACCACGGACAGATCCTGCCTCTGGCTCGCTGACCTTATTCCAATCAGCTCTCATCCTCTTCCAGTTCCTGGTCACCTAACATCAGATTCAAGCTGTAAATGGCTGGGGTCACACGCCCCTCACTCACACAAAATTCCCCACCAATCCCTTGCTGCCTTGTTGGCGCCTTAAATTCTCCAAGAGCTCGAACCAAGAAAAGAAATTAATTATTCACCTAACTCCCTCACAGCTTGTAAGCCACCCAGTTAGTCTCCTCAGAAGCGTGTTAACCACTAGTCACCATCGCCTGCAAAGGGTGTTAACCACTGGTCTACACTAACCAACCAAAGCATGCCTCCACCTCTCCAAGTCCACACTCCCTCCAGGTCTACACCACCTCCAAAGCTGGTTAACCTCCAAAGAGCGTTAATCACTGGTCTACACTGCCTCTACACATGTTAACTACTGGTCTGTCTACATAGCACGTTACCCAGTGGGTTCTTAACCCTCATTTGCACAGTCCCTGTACTCGGACACTTGTTCTACGGGAACCTCCATTACCCCTGCCCCCCTCAGCTCCGCCCACTTGCACCCCCTTAACAAGGCGCGCGCCCCCCCACCTGCACCACTCCGGGTGTCTTGTCGGCAGCGGGCGCGTCGTTGAAGCGGTTGGAGCGCGTGGGGACCGGCGGGTGGGGGCCGTTGCCATAGAGGCACGAGAAGCAGGGTTCGCCATCGCAGCCGAGGTCCATGAGGAACTTGAGCAGCGACAAGCACTTCATGGCGAACATGATGGTGGCGGGGAAGGCGGTAGGGTGTGTGGCGATGTAGGCGTCGATGTTGGCACCGTGGTCCAGCAGCAACTGCATGGTGCGCAGGCAGCCATGGCGAATGGCCACGAGCAGCGGGCTGAGGACGTCGCGGTTGGGGTCGGCGCCGGCCAGCAGCAGCCGCTCGGTGGCGTGTACATTGTTGTTGACCACGGCGAAGTAGAGCGCGGAGCTGCGTCGGTCCTCATAGAGGCGAGCGCGCTCGGGCGCCAGCGGCGCGTTCACGTCGAAGCCCGCGCTCAGCAGCTCCTCCAGCACCTCGTCATTGTTGCGCTCGGCAGCCAGGTGCAAAGGGCTGATGCCACTGCGGCGCACGCGTGTGCGGCTCGTCACCGGCAGCAGCATCTGCACGATCCTGCGGGCGGAGGGAACGCACGCGGTCACCAAGCTGTAGAAGGCTCTGGGGGACGCAGTGTGTGGAGCGCGACGAGTGCTGGCTCTGCCGGCAGAGGGCGCTGGGAGATCAGCCCAGTCAGGATGTGGGGAGTGCCGGGCGATAGCCCGCCAGCAGATAGCGCTCAGGGGCTCAACCCAACTACTTTCCCACACAGAATGTGGAGGGGAAGGGCAGATGACGACCCACCAAGAGGGGGAGCTGTGGGGCCAGCTGTCCCATAGTGACCACATTGGGAAAGGGTTCTTTCAAGATCTTCACATTATGGAAAGTGCAGCTCAGAGAGCTTCCACAGTCTTCCCAAGGTCACACAGCCAATAAAGGATGCATCTGGGTTTCAAACCCAGAACATTTGACTTTCAAAGTCTGCGTTCTTATAAACTTCATCCAGACTGACTGTGATATCAACCATCTCTCACTGACTTGTCTTAGCCTAAGGTGTGCATCCCATTCCCAGCTCAGTTATATGGAGAAGTGACTGGAAGTTTCCCAAACCCAATGAACCAAGTGGTGAAGTTCAGGGAGGTGGGGCAGGCGGTCATCTTACCTGAGAGCTCAGTGCATCCCAGGATCCATCTAAAGACTTCACAGACACTCTGTGGTTTGATCTTTACAATAACCCACAGAGTACATCTCATCATTCCCATTTTGCAGATGAAAAACATCAAGGCTTGGAGAGCTTAAGGGACTTTCTCAAGTCAGGAGAGGTCAGCCAAGGCCTGCACCTCCTCTGACTCCTGGGATGAGCTGTCCTGCATGCTTGGGGTAGGGGGCCCAGTGGAGCTGCCAGGGAGGACACAGAGGGACAAATGTGTCTGACCCCAGTCATCGCTCCCCTCCATCAGCATGGCCTTGGCTGCTTCTTTCTCCTGTGGGTTTAAACACCTCCTCCCCTGAAGGCTCACTCTAGCCTCTCCCAGCCTCTGTGCCCTGCACTGGCCCTCTGAAACCTGGCTGGGTTCTCCCAGACTCCGCACCACTATTGGCATCTTACACATATCAGTGTACTAAATCTTCCCAATAGCCTTATGAGGAGTTCTGGTGTGCCACTGTAGGATATGCACTCGGCCAGAAGGTTTGAACTATAAGGTTGGCGGTTCAAACCCACCAGCTGCTCCTCGAAAAAAAAGGCCTCTATGAGTCGGAGCCCCGGTGTGGTGCCGTAGTATAAGCACTCAATCATAAGGTCGGTTTGAACTGCAAGGTCGGCAATTCAAACCCACCAGCTGCTCCTTGGAAACCCTATACAGGGTCACTCTGAGTTGGAACTGACTCAATGGCACTTAACAACAACAACAATAAGCCTTATGATGTAGGCACAAGAGTTATCCACATTTTACAAATGAGCAAATGAAAGTCCAGAGAGGGTGTGTGACTTGCTCAAGGATGAACAGCCACAGCTTCCTAGTCTGACTTCGTGCAGCATGACCCCATGAGTCACCTGTCACAATACTGTCACTCCAGCCCTGTGGGGAGCCAGAGCCAGTCTATGGCCTTCATTTTCATACTTGTGGCCCAGAGACCTAGAGTGGTTAACCAAAGCCTGGGCTCAACCCCAGGGCTCTTGAGTCCTTGTCTTTGTTCTCTCCCCCCAGGCCCCCAGTCACCCTAATCCACCCAATCCCTGCCAACAGGTGACCTCTTAGCCCCGCCTGGCACTCTAGTGAGGGAAGCAATTGCCAGCAGCGTTGTTCCCACGCCTCCTAGCACGCCTGCTTCCTGGAGATCCCATGTCAGCGACCTCCCGCTAGGGTATCAGTGGAAAGTATTATTACTGTTACTGACGCTATGTTTGCCTAAATTGGCCTCTAAAACCTCAAAAGGACATTCGCACACCCGGGGGCTAATTGACTCCTAATTTCTATTTGTGTTGGCGCACTCAACCTAACCATGCTTTGCAGAGGTGCTGGTCCCAAGCAGGGTCAGGACCTGACTCTGGACTGCGGTCACCACTAGCAAATGCTCTGTAACAGCCATAACAACAGTGGGAAAGCCACCCCGGGCTCCTGGCCAGATGGGGCTGGCAGCTCCTACAGGTCACAGCTGGGCTCCAGTACCTCCCTGGCCAGCTAAGGGAACGTGGGGGAAATGTGGGAAGCACTCACGGCCTGGGATGCCCGAGCATCCTCTCATTAACACAGTGCTATGGTGTGGCACTGCAGAATCAGCACAGGACTGCCAGCCACAAGGTCAGCGGTTCAAACCCACCAGCCACTCCTTGGAAACCCTATACAGGGTTGCTATGAGTCAGAACTAACTTGAAGGCGCTTAATAACAACAATCTACTGGGAGCTTATTGGCTCTGTGGTAAAAGCACTGGACCTCAAACCACAAGATCAATGGTTTGAACCCATCAGCCACTCCATGGAAGAAAAATGGGGCTTTCTGCTCTCACAAAGATTTACAACCTTGGAAACCTTATTTGGGGTTACTATGAGTCAGAACTGAGTCCCATAACAGAACTTTGCAACAACAACAACAAAAATTATCTTGTTGTCCCTGCTTCTATGGGGCCGAGCCATTCCTAAAAGGACAGCAGACAGTTGGGATAGAGACCGGTGTGGCCAGCCCTCCCATTTTACAGAGGGTGAAACTGAGGCCTGGGTGTGGGGTAGAGAAGGGACACAGGCAAGGCCAGGGCAGAATGTTGGTCTCCAGAGTCCTGGGTTAAGCCCACCCAGAATGCCCCACTTCTTCTGACCAAGGGGTCTCCTCATTTCTCACACAGGGAGGTCCTGGAATCAGAGAGCATTATTGTTCAAACTGCACTTTATGATGAGAAACAAAAATGACCATTGCCCAACAGACCCTTGGTTGTCTCAGAGACCTGGTCCCCTGTCTATTCCCTGTCCCCTTGTAGTGGCCCCAGCTGCCAGAGCAGCCTTACCCACCAGGTCCTAGGACCAGAGTCCACTTAGCTCAGGGCCATTCTGAGCCCCACAAAGCATCGTGACAGGCACCAGATTCCTCAGGGCTAACTCTTGTTCCCTGTCCCCAGATCTGACGTCCTGCCCAAATCTCAGCCCTTCAGGAAATAGGGCAGGCCTTCCTGAGCATAGCGGAGGTGCAGCATCGGGCAATGGGAAAATAGCTGGACCTGAGCTACATTGCCAGCTCTGCCCATTGGCCATCTCAGACACACTGTTGAACCTCTCTGAACCAAAATGGCTTCATCTTTAACAGAGGTAATTAATCATAGTAATCATGAAGCCAATCACCATCCTGGCCCAGCTGAGTCAAGTTCAACCCATGGTGACCCCAGGTATGTCAGAGTAGGGCTATCTGCATCAAACTTTCAGTGGCTGAGTTTTCAGAGATAACTCACCAGGTCTTTCTTCTTAGATGTTGAGCACGTTAACTGTTATTAGGAACCACTCAAGGACGTCTAATAATAATGTTACTGTTACGTGCTTTCAAGTCCATTCCAACTTTACAGCCGGAAACGCTGTCCAGCCCTACACTGTTCTCACAGCCATCGCTAGATCTGAGCCCATTGTTGGAGCCACTTGTCAATCCATCTCATTAGGGACCCTCCTCTTTTTCACTGACCCTCCGCTTGGCTAGATACAATGCCTAATTATCGAGGCTCTACGGCTTGCTGTGAGCACGTTACCTTTCGAAATAGTAGCCACAGTAATGTGGTTGCTGAGAACGTACTGTGTGTGAAGGACACATTTACCTCATTTCAACCTGGAAATGAGCTCAGAGCTGAGCACTTTTCTCAGAACTCCTCATAGCAACTCAGCAAGGTGAGATGACATCACAACCACATCTTCCACAGAAGTTGCTTTTGAAGATGAGATCTTACACGTCAAATGGATGGTCCTCACTCAATGGTAACCTTTGGTCTCTTGACCTGCTACCCCAAACACGGACCTTCTGAGTCACCAGCTCACTATGGAGTGTTAGCTGGACGCCAGACTTCAGTTTCACACGGAACCAGCTGCCCACCGATAGTTCCTCTGTCATTGACCTGCTTTGTGGTCAATCCTGCCTATGTGTGTGCATGTGCTCATGTGTGTGTATATATGCATGTTTATGCATGGATCTGCACCTGTGCAGGTGTGTGAACCTGTGCAGGTAGGTGTGTGCACACCTGTGTGTGCTGGGAAGGGGGGTGTTTCTGGCCTCTCTGACCCTGGATGATCCTTGTCTCAGACCCAGGAAAGAGTCTAGTGGAGAATCTGTCCCCAGCTGGCCCCAACATGCAGTAGACCCTGGCCACCAGGCCTTCCCTCTGGAGGTGAGTCTGCAACCTTCCCAAGAAGCACTGCTCAGCCCAGAGCTGGAGTGAGGTGGTTCCTTGGGGAGGAAGGATGAAGGAAGGGCAGCTCCACACACCTGCTGGGCTGATGTCAGGGGGTCACTGGACCCTCAGAGAGAGGGTGCAAACCACCACCTGTCAAATACAGAGAAACTCCGACTGGCCCAGGAAGAGCACTCGAATGCACGACCTGCTTCTAAGCGACTGACAGGTAATTCAGGACCACAAGTTGATGCAAACATCTATCATTTTCCTCCAGCAAAAAGTCCCTGAGGAGCCCCTAGGGGTGGAGTAGATTCCGAGCTGGGGTCTACCAGCTGCTCTTCAGGTGAGACAGAAGACTTTCTGCTTCTGTAATGATTTGCTGCCTTAGAAACCTCATACAGGGTCACAAGTGACACACAGCCACCACCACCAAACAGTCCCCAGCTTCCTGCATTGGAGGACCCTTCAGTGGGAGTGGGGAGGGGCCTGGGAATTCCCCTTACGTGAATCCTTGAGCTCTGAGCTTCAGTTTTCCTTTCAGTAAAATGGGGATATGAGCCTGTTTGTGAATGTGCTTTATAAACTGCATTTAAATGTAATACCTTCAGTACTCTATCCTGCCTTGGCTAAACAGTGAGCTCAAACCCAACAGTACAGTGCAATGGGGCAGGACCAGGCAGTGTTTCTTTCTACTGTATTTAGATAGGGTCGTTATGAGTCGTAACCAACTTAAGGGCACCTCACAATGACAGTAAGCACTCGACCACAAGATAGGCAGTTCAAACTCACCAGCCGCTCCTCAGAAACCCTATACAGGGTCTCTATGAGTTGGAACGGACTCAACAGCACTTAACAACAACAATGACAACAACAACATCTTGCCTTATTTCAAGAAAGAATTTTAAATGGCTGGCAAAAATAGATAAAGTACAGCAAAGGTAATCTAAAGTAGCAATACAAAAGAAAGGATATTTAAAAACAAGGGGGGAGGTCAGAAATGAGACCCAAAATGCAAATCTAGGTTTTTAGGAATTATCAGTTGTATAAAAAATACAGCCAGGACACTCCTTAGACATGAGAATGGTGAGATTTGGATGTGCCATAAAGAAAGACCAACCACTAGAAAAACAAAGAGAAAGTCGGTGAACACAAAGAAAACCCTCGAGTGAACTGGGTGGGCCCAATAGACCCGACAATGTATTCGAATATCATGAAGGAGACTCAGGACCGCCATGCGTCGACAGCAACAACATACCTTACGTTGGCCACAGATGCTGAGGGATGTGTGTTACCCAATACTCACAGCAGAATCACCTTCTTGTTGTTGAATGCTGTTTGAATCGGTTCTGACTCAGAGCAACCCTGTGTAGGGTTTCCAAGGAGCAGCTGGTGAGTTTGAACTGCTGACCTTGCGGTCCAGTGCTTTATCCCACAGCACCATGCCAGAGTCCCCTGTTGTTGTTGCTGTTAAGTGCCTTCGAGTCGGTTCTGACTCATAGTGACCCTGCATAGGGCTTTCAAGGAGTGACTGGTGAGCTTGAACGACTAACCTTGTGTTTCACGCGGGTTTTACAGAGCCACACCAGGACTCCTTAGGCCTTCAAACACCCAAAGCTGCAGCCACATCCCTACCAGTTACATCAGAACCTTAGGTGAAGGGAACACTCGCATGGGGTCCGGGGTGCAGCCAGGGATGAGGACCTCTGGAGTTGGGGGACTGTTTTAAATTTACCTTAAAGGAATCTTGAAGCATCAGCTCTTGTCAAACTAAAGCAGTTTATCACTAAATGTATTTCGATGCTGACCTGCAGTTTCACTAGGTGGAAATGAGAAGTAGGAAAAAGTGCGCTTTCTCAGTGACTCGAATGTGTGACCCCCAGCGACCCTATGAATGGAGTAGAACTGCCTTGTTGGGTTTCCCAGATGTATTGCTTACTAGAGCAGATCCCCAGCCTATTCCCCTGAGGTTCAAACCATCAACCTTCTGGGTGACCTTTACACCCATCAACTGTGTCTCACAACAACAAAAGCAAAAACAAGACGTGTGGATCTTAGACTCTTCTCTCAGCGATGCCTCGTGTCACCTCCTCCAGTTGTGTGTCAAAGCCTGAAACCCGTTGCCTGACCCTGGGTACTGTTTCCATGCTATGAACGAGCAGGGTGTTTGGCAGATGAACAAGTACAGAGCGCAGCTGGAATGTCACCTCAAATCCCCAAGCACCTTATAGGGTTTGGTTAGGGCCAGCAATGCCAAGTACCCAGAAGTGGACAGAGAGCCCTGCCATGTAGCAGAGGCTACAGGGCACTGTGACTTAACCCTTTGTTGGATGGCCATCCTCAGTCTTAGAGGATGACTAACAGATACATCCATTAGTCCACATAGACTCATATCTTACCCCCCAAGTGAGAGACGTCACCTTTGGAGCACCTACAAGCTGTGTGACTTTGGGCAAATCACTCAACCTCTCTGTGTCTTAGCATCCTCATCTGAAAAATGGGAATACTAACAGTACCTGCCTAGCAGAGTTGTTGAAGGAGAAATATGCGGATAACATAAAGTAGTGGTAAGTGATTGTTCACTTATGGTGTTTCTTTCTGCCATATATAGACAGGTGTTCAGTCACCCCACGCTTGCTAATTGCAAAGAGACTTTCCTCTTTTTCACCCTGAGGGGTTGGGGGCTGGGCTGACCTGTAGTTGCCCTTCTTGGCAGCCACGTGCAGGGGCAGCATGCCATCCTTGTTGGCCTTGTTGGCGTCGGCACCCTGGGACAGCAGAAACTCCACCACCTCCTCGTGCTCATTCTTGCAGGCTTCATAGAGGGCAGATGCATTGTCGCTGGCCTGAGTGTTGATGTCGCCGCCTGGAGAAGGACAAGGAAGTGACAACCCATCAGGTGTGATGACCCATCAGGGTGGCCACTACCCTGGACCTAATGCCCAGTCCAAGCTGAACTACTTAGTGCTAACCACTACTAGGCATCCCATCATTTTATCATTTCTTCCAGATGAACACCTTTGTGTTAACACTGGCAGTGTTACTGAAGGAGGAAGTCCAAGGCGCATGGAAGGCATTGGAAAGAACAAGACACCAGGAATTGATGGAATACAAATTAAAATCTTCAACAACCTGATGCAGCACTGGAGGCACTCACTAATCCATGCCAAGAAATTTGGAAGATAGCTACAAGGCCAAGTGATTGGAAGAGATCTATATCTGTGCCCATTCCAAAGAGAGGTGACCCAATGGAATATGGAAATCATCAGAAAACATCATTAGTATTTCATTCAAGTAAAAGTTTGCTAAGAAAAATTTAAAAATGGCTGCAGCCATACATTGACAGAGAACACCCAGAGATTCAAGCTAGATGCAGACAAGGATGTGGAACAAGGGATATCATTGCTGACGTCAGATGGATCTTGGCTGAAAGCAGACAATACCAGCATGATGTTTACCTGTGCTTTATTGATTATGCAAAGGCTTTTCATTGTGTGGATCATGACAAGCTATGGACAACATTGAAAAGAATAAGTATCCCAATCACTTAATTGTGCTTATGAGGAACCTGTACATAGACCAAGAGGCAATTTTTGAAAAGAATAAGGGGATGCTGAATAGTTTAAAATTAGGAAAAGTGTGAACTAGGGTTGTATTTTTTCACCATAGTTATTCAACCTATATGCTGAGCACATAATCGGAGAAGCTGGATTATATGAAGAAAAATGTGGCATCAGGACTGGAAAAAGACTTATTAACAACCTGCGATATGCAGATGATACAACTTTGCTTGCTGAAAGCGAAGAGGATTTAAAATACTTACTGATGAAGATCAAAGACCACAGCCTTCAGCATGGTTTGTACCTCAATGTAAAGAAAACAAAAATCCTCACCACTGGACCAATAAACAGCATCCATGCACATGGAGTCGGTGCCGACTCGATGGCACCTAACAACAACAAAAAAAGTACATGGAGAGAAGATTTAAATTGTCAAAGACTTCATTTTGCTCAGCTCAACCATCAACACTCATGGAAGCAGCAGTCACGAAATCAAATGACATACTGTAATAGGCAAATCTGCTGCACAAGACCTCTGAAAGTGTTCAAGAGCAAAGATGTCAGTTTGAGGACTAAGGTACGCCTGACTCAAGCCGTGGTATTTTCAAGAACCTCAGCATAGTGGTTACGAATCGGGCTGCGAACCTCAAGGTCAGCAATTTGAAACTACCAGCTGTTCTGCAGGAGAAAGATGAGGCTTTCTGCTCCCATAAAGATTTACAGCCTCAGAAATCCTGCATACGGTCACTATGAGTCAGAACCGATTCCACAGCACATCACAACAACAACAACATATGCATGTGAGAGTTGGACAGTGGATAAAGGAAGACTGTAGAAGAATGGATGCATTTGAGTTATGGTGTTGGAGGAGAATATTAAAAATACCATGGACTGCCAGAAGGACAAACAAATCTGTGTTGGAGGAAGGACAGACAGAATGTGCCTTGGAAGCCAGGTTGGCCACACTTTGTCACTCATACTTCAGACATATTGTCAGGAGAGACCCGTTCCTGGAGAAGGCATCATGGTTGGTAAAGCGGAAGGGTAGAGAGTAAGAGGAAGACCCCCAACTAAATGGAGTTGCACAGGGGCAGCAGCAATGAGCTTAAATGCATCAGTGATTGTGAGGTTTGTACAGGACTGAGCAGTGTTTTGTTCTGTTGTGCATGGGGTCTCCATGAGTCGGTGCCGGCTTGATGGCACCTAACAACAACAACTTAGGGTCATTGTGGAGTCCTGGTGTGGCACTATAGGATAAGCACTGGACCTCAAGGTCAATTTAAACTGCAAGGTGGCAGTTCAAACCCACCAACTGCTCTGCAGAAACCTTATGGTGGTTATGTGCCATGGAGTTGGTTCTAACTCATAGCGACCATGTACAGGGTTTCTGATGCTGTAAATCCTTATGGGAGCAGAAAGCCTTATCTTTCTCCCGCGGAACAGCTGGTAGTTTTGAACTGCTGATCTTAAGGTTCGCAGACCGATTCGTAACCACTGTGCTACCAGAGCTCCTTGCAGAAACCCTATAGAGGGTTGCTATGAGTTGGAATCCACTCAACAGCACATAACAACAACAACATAGGGTCACTATGAGTCCAAATGTACTCGATGGCACCCAACAACAAAAACTATTGGAGAGAGAAGTGCACCCCCTTAAGACCTATAACTCCCTTCTGCATCATCAAGACCCTGGGGGCTGCCAATCTGAGCAAAGGCCCCTTACAGGCATTTCAGCGATGCTGCCCTTGGCTGAGTAGTCAGGATGCACAAGCCATTGTAGGTTACACCTGTTGTCTTGCTTGAAAACTAGCCTGTGAGACCAGGTGAAACAGGTGTTTCTTTTGTCTCCAAGCCACAAAGGAGGATGTTGAAGCACAGGTAACCATAGCAACAGACCACCCAGCTCATAAATCAGAGCTGGACTTGAGTCCGATGGCTGGATGAGTAAGGCTTGAACTCATACTATGTCAGAAGGGGCTGCTCCAGTCCCAGGGGAGCACAGAGTCCTTAATATGAGTTGAACTGTGTCCTCCCAAAAGAATGTGCTGAAATCCTAACTGCTGGAGGATGTGGCCTGGTTTGGAAACAAAGTCTTCAAAGATGTTATTGGTGAATAGAAAAGGGGTATCTGATAACAAAGATGAGAGCCAGAGACACTCAGTGGAAATACATCTACAACCCAGGGGGTGGCAAGGGTTTCAGCACCAGGAACTTGGAGAGAGACATGAGCAGTTTCTCTCTTAGAGCCCCAAGAAGGAATTTACATGGCCGGGCCCCTGATAACCTGAATCATCAATTTCTGTTCTTAGCTCTGGTAGCGTAGTGGTTACGAATCGGGCTGTGAACTTTAAGGTCAGTGGTTCGAAACTACCAGCCGCTCCGCGGGAGAAAGATGAGGCTTTCTACTCCCGTAAAGATTTACACCCTCGGAAACCCTGTACAGGGTCGCTATGGGTTGGACCCGACTCGATGGCACTTAACAACAACAACAACATAACAGGATACTTATGATTGTTGTTGTCAAGTCGGTTCCAACCCATAGCAGCTGGTGAGCTTGAACCAGCGACCTTTGGTTCAAGCTGACTTTGCAGTCCAGTGTGTTAACCCACAGTGCCACACCAGAACTCCTGTTTTAGCAGCCCCAAATAGAGCAAAACTCCAATGACTTTACTACTGGGGTTTGTTCAAGGTTGTTGTTGTGAAGTGTAGTCAAGTCAGTTCCGACCCATAATGACTCTATATAGGGTTTCTGATGCTGTAAATCTTTACAGGAACAGAAAGCCTCATGTTTCTCCCTGCGGAACCGCTGGTAGTTTCAAACTGCTGACCTTGATGTTCACAGCCCAACTCATACCCACTACCCTACCTGAGCTCCTTTTTGTTCAAGGGATAGAGGGGAATTTCCTTGGGTCTCCTTTAAAGACAACACTCAAATCACACCCATAGGAGAAAGAGTAAAGGCCAATCTCCTACACCTCTTCCATCTCCGGTTGGGGAGGGTTGGCGTGCATGTGGCTTTGTCTCCAAAGAGAGGTGCAGCCTGTTCATCAGGTTTACTCCGGAAGGAAATGGAGCTGAGGCAGTTCTAAACCAGTAAGGGCTGAAATCGAAAGCCTCCTCTGCTAACCACGGCTCCTCTCTTCTTAAACATTTTGCTTATCTTCGACTCTCTGGTGACTTTTAAAATGTTCCATAATGGTGAGGCTGCTTCCTGGTCTAGTGCAAAGGAAACGGGACGTGGGCCAATTCAAGCTTCCATTTCACTGTTCACAAGCTGTGTGGCTCAAACAGCCTTTTAGAGTCTCAGTTTCCCCCATCTGTCGACTAGAAGTAACAGTACCTACTGCTTGGGGTTCCTGGGAGGAATAAGTAAGACCACAGAGTTGAATCTTCATGCATCATGCCTGGTGCTCAGTTTGCTGTCTTCTATTGCTGGCAACTCCAGGTGTGCAGAGTCTAACTGCTCTATAGCGATTTCAAGGCTGTGACCTTTCAGAAGCAAATCACCAGGCTTTTCTTCTGAGGTCCCTCAAGGTGGGTTCCAACTGCCAACCTTTCCAATAGTTAACCTCTGTGTCACCCAAAAAGCCACTACTGTCAAGTCAATTACAACTTGTAGCAGCCCTGTAGGACAAGGTAGAAACTGCCTCATAGGGTTTCTGAGGCTGTAAATATTTATGGAAACAGTCTGCCACATCTTTCTCCCATAGAGTGGCTGGGGGATTCAAACCACCAACTGTTTGGTTAACAGCCAAGCACTTAACCTCTACTCCACCAGAGCTCGTCTTTGTGACACCCACAAATTGTGTAAATGCCAGTGAAACTCCAGGGTGGAATGGCCCAGGGGCTCCCTGGAAGGCCTGCTCCACACAATAAAAATATTGGGATTTAAAAATGGAGTAGACCCCTAACTCAGAGTTCGGCAGGAGATCAGGGCAGGTGTAGAGTGTCAGCTGTCTCTAAACCCACTGAGCATGGGGCTGCCAGAGCTCTTTTGTTCTCAAACGGGTCAGTTGTGCACATTTGTCCATGGCTGAAGGCAGTGGCTCGGGTCTGTCCGCAAGGATGCTCAAGCATGTGCTAAGAGCTCTGCTCTTCTGGACACAGCCCTGCATTGGTAACTCTCGAGACCACAGTGGGGTGGGCAGTGAAGAGAGCATGGAGCTGGGAGCCAGGTGGACAAGGGTTCGAATCCAGGCTCTCTAAGCAATCATTACTCAATCTGAGTCTGTCTCCTCATCCACAGAATGGGACAAGAACAGTATCTGCCTCAAAAACCGCACTGACCAAACCTGTGTTTGTGCTGAGCCCAGTGTCCAGCACACAGTGGTTGTTGTTGTTGTTGTTGTTAAGTGGTCCCCAATAAATTAACCCCATTCGGCCCCAGAGCCTTAGTTATATCTTTCCCAGATATTTCAGAGTTCAAGACCCAGCTCTGCTTCTCATTTGCTGTGTAATCTAGAACAAATGACATGCCCATCCTGGGTTTCATCACCTACAAAATGAGGTGATGTCAGTGCTATCTGAGTCCCTTCTGGCTCTGAATGTGACATCCTAGAAAGGGAAGTTGTTGAGGTGTCAGGAGATCAAGAGCTGATTGGTTCTACCATGAATTTGCTTAGAGAAATTACTTCCCCTTACTGGACTTTAGATTCCTCGTTTTGCAAAACAAGGATGTTGGGTTAGATTGTTGTTGTTGTTGTTGTTGTTGCCTTTAGGTGCTGTTGAGTTGGTTCCAATAACAACACTATGCACAACAGAACGAAAGACTGCATGGAGCTGTGCCCTCCTCAGAATGGTTAGGTCTGAGTCCATGGTTGCTGCTGTTGTACCAGTCCATCTTGTTGAGGCTAGATTACAGATTGTAACTAGGTGGCACGTGTACCTGATTTCCCACATCTGCCCTATGTGCATACGTCACTAATGGATGTCAGCGCTCTTTCCCACTGAGTCTGACACGATCTCAGAATCGTTCTCAAGCCAGCACTCCAAGAAGATGTTATGCTGTCTTAGAGCTGATCTCAGGGGTCCTTCCCAACAGAGCCCTGGAGACCCTCAGTCACTCACCATACTTGGCCAGGAACCTCAGAGCCTCCAGCTGGCCACTTTGGGCGGCCACAAACAGAGGGGTGATGCCGTAGGCATTCTTGGATTCCACTTTGGCGCCTCCGCTCACCAGGATCTCCATGACTTCCAGGTCATTCCGGGAGACGGACTCATGCAGGGCTGTCCAGCCTCGGTTGCAGCGATGGTTGGTATCTGCGTTGTACCGCACCAGGATCCTCACAGCCTCTACATTCTTGCGCTCGCAGGCTGCACCCAGGGAAGAACAAGGCTGTCAGCAGGACCTATGGCAGGACTGGACTGTCCATGGCTGCATGCATCGATTCATTCATTCATTCATTCATTCATTCATCAGACATTCATTCAGCAAATCATCATCAAGTTTTTTCTAAGTTCCAGGCCTTGCATTGACCCAAGGCTTTGTGACAAACACCAATAGTAGCAATAATGCCTGCTGACAAGTACATAGGGCAGGTTATGTGCCAAGTAATCTGATCTCATCACTTTACATGGGTTAGCAACTTTATGTTCCAAACCATTAAAATATGTTATGTTCCAACAACTCAGTTGTAAGTCAGTTCTGATGTAAGTTGAATACTTCTTTTTTGTTGTTTTTTAGTTACTTGTCATTATTATCAATATCTGTATAAAGCCCGATCTTTGAATATTTGCAAGTGAACATCTGAGAACGAAAGCATCAGCGAATTGTGTTCCGTGACTCGGATGTAGTGCATATTAGCAATGATAAGATGTACAAAAGAAAAAAACAGTTCTAAGTGAGGCTCATTGTAACTTGAACACATCACAAGTTCAGGACTACCTGTAGTGTTATTATCCCCTTTTAACAGATGAAGAAGGTGAGGCACAGAAAGGTTAAGTGACTTGCCCAGGTCATTCAGAAATTAAGTGACAGAGCTGGGATTCAAACCGAGGTTTTTGGTTCCAGAGTCTATGTTCCTAACCTCTGTGCTATGACAGGGAATGAAACAGACAACTTGTCTCATTGCCATTAACTAGTTGTTACATTGCCCTTGCATCTGTGCCCTGCTAGGCTGGCAGAATTGCAGGAGTAGGGACCATGTCTTTCCATCTTTGAGCTCTCAGCATCCTCCTTGTGCCTAGCACTGGGGGTGGGGGTGGGGGAAGGGTAGGAGGGGGGGACACTAGGGAAATGTTGAAGAATACAGGCCGACCTCAGAGATTTCTTGAGATCAGTTCCAGACCACCACAATAAAGTGCATATCACACACAGTAAAGCTAATTGCACGAAGTGTTTGGATTCCCTGTGTCTGGGGAAGGTGCTGTTGGCACTATATTGTAATCTATGATGTACGTAATAAATAGCATGATGAAAACTATTGCACAGAGACACGAAGTGGGCACATATTGTTGGAAAAATGGCATTGATAGACTTGCTCCATGTAGGGATACTACAAACCTTCAATTGTTTAAAAAAAAAAAAGAAAGAAACAGGCAATATTTGCAAAGCACAGTAAATCAATGAGCAATAATAAGAGGCCTGCCTGCCTTTCATGAATGAATGATTTGGTGTCATGAATGATACATCTGAATGAACCTCTTCCCTTCAAAGCAAAGTATCTTGGGAAGTGATGTGTCTACAGAAACAAGACTTGATGCCTAACAAGACTCAGTCCGCCCCAGGGACTGACCTTTATAGAGTGGCGTCTCTCGGGACTTGTTGGAGATGTCCGGCTCCGCCCCAGCCTGCAACAGTGACAAGAGGCAGTCCAGGTGTTCCCTGCATGTGGCCAGGTAGAGGGCTGTTTCCTCTTGCAGGGTGCGTTGGTCCAGGGTTGATGGGTATGCTGGGAGAAACAGATGGGAATTCCAAATTAGGAAGACATGGATCCCCCCAAGAACAGAAACGTGCTGCACCCTCTTCCATTACCTGGCCCCAGTCTGCCTTCGTCCCTTCTGTCTTGGACCCTGTCATGTCATAGGCTGACCCTGCTGCCTGGTCATGGAAGCCCATTCAGAACCTCCTCCTCTGGGAAGCCTGTCCTGGCTGGCCCTCCTCCTGCTTTGAATGACCCTTGTTTTCCTCTGCTTTCCCACTTGCCACTGCTGGAAACTCGAAGTTGCACACAGCTGTTTCTGCCCTGGAGCCTAGTGGGCTGTTTGCTGGGGAGGGGTGCTGATTTAGAGCAGAGGAAGGAAGGAAGGAAGGAAGGAAGGAAGGAAGGAAGGAAGGA